TTGATAAACCTCCAGATAAGAAAAAAAAATTCAGAAAAATTTGATAATGTGGTTTGTTTCTTTATTTGAAAAGATTCAATGATTAAGTTCATATAATATGAATGAATACATGAATGTTTAAAGAAAATCTGTAAGTAAACGAACTTCATATCATATTAAGTATGGAAAAAAAAGAACGAATTGTTATTCGTCTTAAAACATTCATCATTTGATATTATTATAGACGTATTTGATTGTTCTGTATGAATGCTGAATTTAATACAGTTATTTATAAGAATTGATACTTCTATCGCCATGGTTAAAAACAAATGTGATCAACAAACATTAACATAAAAATTCTTAATGACTAACTTACTGCAATAAAATAGACTTATAAATTCAAATGTTACAAATATAAATTTCTCCATAGAATTAGTTTATTATAAAAGTGTCAGATTTTCTCGTATCTTTCATCTTCATAAAAACAAACTTGAAGATTTTGTGATGCAAATAATAAAAGTACCCATTTATCATCTCTACAACATATATAGTTAGGAAAAGTTGAAACAGTTGTTTGACCGACATGTAGATCATCATCCGTACAATATACAAAAGTATAACAAAAGAAAAACAACAAGATATCTATTCTCTCCTTTAGAATTATGTCTATTAAAAAATTTACTATTTTTTTAAAAATTGTTGTGGTTATTCAAGAGAAAAGAATATTCGAAAATCCATATCACCTTTAATTTAAGCTAGAGCAACCTATTTTGTATACCAAAAAAATTATTATAATCATTAATTTTCTTTATCTACTTTAGCAAGAATATAAGAACTGGCACTATGTTTAATACAATCGAGACATGATCGAAATCTAGAAAGTAATTCAGCTAATATGCATAATTGAATATCTTTAAAAAAAAGAAATAAAACATTGATTATGAAAAAAGAGGACGCTGCTTTTCTAACATAATTTTGAACTGTCTCTGGCAATCTTTTATTCGTTTCGCATAACAGTATGGTGCCTTTGAAAAAATAAATTAAACATAGGAATAGGACTAAAACTGTTGAATCTATAGGGAGAAATCTTCATTTTGAAAATTTCAGATTCTAATATATATGTTATATATCGTTTTGTTTCAACAATTTTGACAGTGAAATTGTCGTATCTATTAGATAACTTTCACTAAAGCTTTGAGATCTTAACTATTTGAAGCGACCAATATTACATCATTGGAAATAGTTTCCAATTATAAAATAAATCTATTTTACTGAACGAAAACTTTAGAAAAAACACTCCAACAAGAATTAAAAATAATTTCAACAGGATTATCAAATTGTTGATAAATGCAATAGAAATGTTAATGTAGGGCATTTTATACTGATACGTGATTCATCATCACTTTTTATCATACCATCTATATTAAGTGTATATCTAATAGAGATAAAAAATTTAGAAATAATTCGTCTGTTTTTATATTAGATAGTTTGAAATAAGTTGTTCAACAAGTTTAGCAGCTGATGTTTGTTTTTCATTGTTAATTATTAATGTTGAATCTAATTCATCATTTTTTTTTACTAGGATATCTGGTTATTCATTATGAGTTTAAATTAATAATTGATCAAAATAAAATAAATTTGTATATTTAAGTATGATTTCAAATGTCTCTAATAAGTTTGATAGAACATTATCATCATTATGTTGTAAACAAATATGACATACCATATCAAAACACTAAGAAAACTTCACATTGAAAATAAAACCATTCGTTATATGTTGAACACTAATTGAAAGATGTTGTTCATATTTATCTATATATTTACTTCTATTTATATTAATTGTTAACTATTGCTTGATGATTGAAACTCTTCAACACTTAAATCAGCTTATTGAAGAAGATATTTTATTCAAACTGTACAATTATTTTGATTATGATATTCAAGCAATTGATCTATTCAAATAAAAGACAATGATAATAAATTGAAATTTTTATTTGAATGGAAATTTACCAATTGTATTCGCCATTAGAAAATCTGCTATAACTATGAGATAACGAGTCATAGTAAACGGACAAGTAGTTGATGAATGATGAATAAGTGTCGATTGATATAACATATTTGCCAAATAGGTCATGAGAAGTGTCGAAGAATATTTTAGTACCTAATTAAATACTTCAAAAGAAAATTATTTATTATTAATATTAGGAAAAAGGCAAAAAGTTTGTTTTTCTTCGACTTCATACTTCAACTATACCGATAGCCAGTGAACAACTATGGCTAATTTTTTTAATGTCCCATTGAAATTTAACAGTAAAGGAAATTTTTTTTATTCTTAATCATTTATTTGATTATATGCTAATATATAAATAGCCGATAGTATTCCAATTAATGCTAAGACGGGTGTGGGTGTGGGTGGGGTGTGGGCGTGGGTGTGGGTGGGGTGTGGGCGTGGGTGTGGGTGGGGTGTGGGTGTGGGTGGGGTGTGGGCGTGGGTGTGGGTGGGGTGTGGGTGTGGGTGGGTGGGTGTGGGTCGGTGTGGGTCTGGGTGTGGATGTGGGATGGGGGTCTGGATGTGGGTATGGGTTTGGGTGTGGATCTGTGTAAACATTTTGTCTCCATCCACATCCACATCACCCACAACCACATCTACACCCACACCCACGCCCACACCCACACCCACACCCACACACCCACACCCACACACACCCACACCCACACACACCCACACCCACACACCCACACCCACACCCTCGAAACATGGTATAACTTTTTTAATTCGTAAGTTCACCCTTCTCATGAGTTCCTCAACATGACCGAAACGCATCAAAGTTGCTTGCCACTTAAACTTCACATTGAATTCATTTCTAGTTTATTTATTTACTCAATAGTAGTGTCCTTTATAGTACCGTAGCAGAATTTTGATTAGTCATGTGCTTTCTTATATCGCTGCGCCTCATCACGTCGGTCTTCTGGACGATCTAAAATCGATAAATATACCAATATGAAAAGTCGAAATGGTCGACTTTAGTTCACTTACGCCGTTTTTGAGCAGCAGCGATATTACTCAATTTTCTTTTAAGTGATTCATTTTCTCTAAATGCAACAGAAGATAGCAATAGAATACTTAATGAATCTCTCAAAACACATTATACAAACCTTTTCAAAGCTTTCAATTCACAACTTTGACCGGCAATAATTTCATGGTCTTTCCGTTTGCTTGCATGTGATCTAGAGAAATAATAACTTTTTGTTGAACTTTAACATAAGTTTAGAACTTACTCTTTCAATTCACTTTCTCTCCTTTCAATTTTTTCGATTTTACTTCGTTGTTCACTAGCAGTGCGTTCGAGCCATTTCTTGTTCCTATGAAACAAAACAATTAACAAGCTCTTGTTTTATTTTATTACAATCAGTTTACTGTTCTAAACGAGCAATAGCATGTTCATCATGTTTTCTCTTGTGTTCAATTTGACTACGAATTACAGAAAACATGAATAAACTTAACGTTATTTGTTTGACAAACGAGAATATTTTCTTACTTGAGATGCCATTCAAGAACTTTTCGATATTCAAAAATTGTCGTCGGTCGTAATTTGAAAATAAACTTAATTTTATCTTCGTTTGGACATAAAAAGCCATCTGAAGCCAAATCTTCAACATAATAAAATCTAAATTCATAGTTAAGAATCCGTAAAATGACAGAATTTGAGAAGAAAAATCCAATCATACGATTTCCATCCATTTTTCCAGCCTGGTTGAAATTGCCCTGTCCCTTGTACTGTGTGATTAGAAGCGTTGCCACTAGAACGAACTAATTCAATAGCATAAGTATATTCGATCGGTTCTGGCATTCCACTATTTAATTTCAAGAAGACGGATAATACATTTCGCTGTCTATCATTACAATAGTTCTAAATGTAAACAATAAAATTAGCATTTAAATATGAAGTCTAAAGACTCGACTTAACTGGATGTACCATGAATGACCAATTTTGGTTATAGTTCAAAGAATATTTTTGAACTATAAAATTGTTCCATTGACTGCTCTTTCTCAAAAAACCATACAGGAGAAATTCACCTGTTTGCCATGGAAGTGCCACAAAACTTAATGAACAAATGGCACCAAAATAATCGGATATGAGAAACTAATCTTACTCTGGGAGAATGTTTTTTGTCATGTCAATGCTGTCAAAAGTCGAAATCGATGGCAGTTTCTGAAATCGACTCAATAGTTCTTTTCTCATGCTAATCAGTTCGGTTTCGGTTTTGGAGTTAATTGCTTGTTCTAATATAGTAATCAGCTCATCATGTTGCTTGATTTGACCGTCAAGATGAGTTCGTTCATCTAGTAAACAACGATGAAATAGTATTAAAAAAATTCTTATCATTCAAAGTCTTCTTTTGCTAATTTACTCTTGATTTTCTATGAATAGTTTCGGGTATTACTAATTTATGCTAACACCACAAACACCCAACTTTGTAAA